ATGGACGGCGCCCGCGACAAGGTGCACGCCTCGGCGGCCAGCGCCGCCACGCCCCGCGGGCCTGCGGCGCGCGCGGCGAGGACCGACACGTCGGGACGGTCGCGTCGGGGTGTTGTTTTGAGTGGGTCCTCCTCCTCCGCCTCCTCCTCCTCCGCCTCCTCCTCTTTCTGCTCCTCCTCCTTCACCTCCTCTCCTTCTCCTCGTCCTGTTCTTCTTCGGGGCCCCACCGCAAACTCCTCGAAACAGGCACGGCGAACGAAACGAGAAATCGATCCAACTGAATCACGAGCCTGAATCTAGCTCGTCTAGCCAGGCCTTGCATCCTGGTGGCATACTACCAGCAGCCAAAGCCTTGATCACCCGAGCCCCCACTCCCCACGAGTGCTGGGCACACAAGGCTTGGTAAGCTCCTGGACCTCAACGGGCTTCCTCCCCTGCAAGAATCAGGCCCCACAACTTCCACGAACTTCACGCCAAAACACACCCCTTATTTTACGAATTCGGTGAGACTGGTGCAGGGACTCGGGCATTCCAGCACACTCCAAGCTGCTGCTCAATGGCAGCACGAGCTGCCTTCGTGGACGGGCCGTGGAGGGCACGGGCCTGCGCGGCCACGCAGTGGGCGACCGCCAGCACGTGCTGCTGGACCCGCCAGGCTCGACGATTCGCCCCGACCAGGCCGGCCTCTGCACCTGATGGGACCTGGCGTTCGCGGGCAGACTTCTCCGCCCCCGCTTCTAGCGGGGCGGACGAACGGGGGGGGTAGGGAAAGGGGGGGTTCCGTTTTTTGCTGCATGCAACTGGTTTCGGCCCCACCGAGGGGCCCTTTCCTGGATACATGGCCGCCTACGGCGCCGGGAAATCAGCTACGTAAGCTGATTCTCGAACCCCCCCTTTGCTATCCTCCCCGTTCGCCCAGCCCGATTCTACCGCCCCGTTCGCCAGCCAGTGCTGCTGGGGGACCCCAGGGCGCCCGTCGACTTCGGGCGAGGCGTGAGACTTGACCTTCAGCATGCGCTGTCTACTGCCCTAGGCTAAACACCAGAGCTCTCGCCATACTTCCCGCTCCCTCGGCAAAGGAAGCCCCTCCCCCTCCCTCGGCAAAGGAAGCCCCTTCCCCTCCCTCCCTGTGCGCTCTGGCCTCCCAAAACAACGAACACCCTCCCAAAACCCTCCCGAAACCCTGCGAAAACCTTCGCGGAACCCTTCCCGTAGGGTTTTCGGAGCGGGGGGCGGGGGCGCCTGAGGGGCCGGCGGCCTTCCAACGACATCCTTTCGAAGAAGCTTTCACGACACGCGCTGTCCACAACGAGTAGGGCCCCCTGAGCCGTCGGACCCAGCCACGTCCCCTGGCTCCAGCACGAGTGGGCCAGCCTGGAGGGCGGTCGAGACAGCAGGGCGAACGTCAACAAACGTGCGGGCAATCTCCTGAGTCCAGAGAGGTGGCGGGAGTCCTCTGAGCCCCCCCCAAAAAGTACTCCGACCGAGGGCTCCAGACGTGCCCAGGAAACCCAGGGTCTCCGGAGGGCCTTCGCCTCCAAGGTGATCTGTCGCCCTCCATGCTGAGGGCCCGAGGGGCCCTGAGGGCACCCCACTCGGTGCCCACGGCACGGTCGTGCCCGTATCTTCTGCGTCGGTTGTGCACGAGCGTACTGATTCAATAGGGGAACAACAGTTGGCATAAACATGACAACTCGGAGGTCCGCGCGGATTTCTCGGATCGGCGCTGGACCCCCCTCCCTGGCGTTCGGAGCGCCCCAGAGCGGCGCCGGAGGCGCACCCGGGGGGGCCCAGCGCCGATCCGAGAAATCCGCGTGGACCTCCGAGTTTTTATGTTTATGCCACTTGTGTTTCCCCTATTCAACGCGATGCGTGCTTCGTCCGCTCAAAATCGGCTCCCAGACCCCATGGGGTCCATCTGGTGCTGCTTGTCGCCCCCAGATCCGTCTTCGACCGCGCCCTGGGGGCCCGCAGCGGCCCCTGGATGCCGCAAGGGGTAAAAAGCTTTCGAGCACCCAGAACCTCGAACCTCCGAGGAGGAGGAGGAGGGGGAGGAGGAGGAGGAGGAGGAGGAGGAGGAGGAGGAGGAGGAGGAGGAGGAGGAGGAGGAGGAGGAGGAGGAGGAAGAGGGGGAGGAGCTTGTGCGTGCATACTTCAGAGCGCCGTGTGCGCACGTGTCCATTTGAAAGTACGATTCCTCCGTTTACATCTGGGCTCACGCAGTGGGCACCAGGGCGCGGCCCCCTTGGCATGCGCCCCCCAGCGCAGCGGGCGGCGGCCGCGGCGGCGGCGCGGCGGCCGAGGGGACGGTGCTCCCAGGCCCCAGGCAGCCGCTCTGGGGCTGCAGATGCGAGCCAGCCAATCACCACCCACCAAACCACCCCAACCCAACCCGAAGGCTCAGATTTAACCTCGATTTCCAGTGGGGGGGGTTGGGACACATCGAAAAAAACACGTGTGGAACCCTTACCCCCCCCCAACCCGAGATTCGGGTCTTCGGGTTGGGTTGGGGTGGTCTGGTAGGTAGTCAGCCAACTGGGCCAGTCGGCTCCAGTGCAGGAGCTGCGGAGCGGCGGCCCCGCTGTCGATCCGCCCGCGCGCGCTGGCGGCAGCCGCGGGCCCAGCACCGCAGGCGGCAGCCAAGGCCGAGCAGAAGGCGAAGGCCAGGGCGGGCGCGGCGGCAAAGGCTCCGGCTCCCGACGGTGGAGGAGCTTGGGTCCAGGGCGGTGGCAAGCCGCGCCGCGTGCGCTTCCGCGAGCTCACGGACCAGGACGAGGACGAGACCGAGGGCGACGGCGACGACGGGCTGGCCACGGCGGTGGAGCTGCTCGAGCGGAAGGGAGTCCAGCTGGATGCTGAGACCAGGCGCAAGCTGGGGCTCCCCAGCGTCGATGCCGAGAAGGAAACGAAGCCAGACTCCCCACGGTCTCACCACCAGGCGGTGCAGAAGGCCATGTGGAAGGTCAAGAACAGTGCTGGGAAGCTGGAGCGGGCACAGAAGGCGCTGGACGCGACCCACGAGCTCTTGGCGGACGCCCAGGCAGCGCTGGCCAAGGCGCAGGAGGCCCGCGACGCGGCCGCTGAGGCCCACCAGCACGAGCAGACGACCCTGGAGCGAGCGCGGCTCGCCGAGCAGGCGGGCCTGGAGCCAGCCCCAGAGGAAGTGGATAAGCAGAGAGCTGCCGCGGTGGAAGTGCTGGCCCGGGCAACGCTTGGGGCGAAGTACGCCGCGGAGCTCAAGAACAAGTTCGAAAGGGCGAGAAGCAGCCCAGGACACGCAAGCCATCGAGCTCTTCAGCAAGTTGGCGGCGGCCACCAAGGCCCGCCTGGAGGCCCCGGCCAAGGCAGCAGTGCAGGCTGGTGCAGAGCCTGCCGAGACTGGCGCTGGCCCTGCAGATGTTGCTCCAGGCGCAGGCGGCGCCGCAGGAGACGACGTTTCCATGGACGCGGGCCAGCAAGCGGCAAAAAAGTTCATGGACAACCTCGCGGCCCTGCCCCCCCCCCTCCCCCCCAAAGCGAGCTAGGCTCGAGAAGTACCTCGAGCTGCACGGCCGCTCCCTGCCCAAGCGCCTGCGGCTCCCGACAGGGGGCGCCAAGCCAGGAGGGGGGGCCCCAGAGGCAGCCAGCGCTTCGGGCGACGAGGACTTCTGAGGGGGGGGGCTACATCACGCGGCGACGCCAGCCACGGGTCGAGGCACTCTGGCGCTTGGACACCGCAAATACCACCTCCAAGTCAAGCATGCTGCGCTGGCTGGAGGAGGAGGCGCAGGGCGACATCGTCTTCATCCAGGAGACGGGCGTGGCGCCTGGTAGCAAGGCGGCAACCGAGCAGGCGCGCCGTCGCATGGGCTGGAAGGCCTCCCTCACGGAGGCCCGCCGAACCGAGAAGGGCGGCCTCTCGAGCGGAGTCGGCGTGGCCTGCAGGGCCCACGTCGGCATGCGCATGCCGCCTGTGGGGCCGCCGCCGCCAGCGGACAGGATGGTCGCTCGCTGGATCAACGCGATTGTGCCAGGCGGCTTCCTGGCGGCGTCGGTCTACTTGGTGGCAGACAGAGGGCTGGACCCCGAGAGTAAGGTGTTGCTCGCCCAGCTAGGACAGATCTGAAGGCGGTCAAGGCCCCGTTCATCCTCGGCGGGGACTGGAACTGCCAGCCGACGGAGCTCACGCAGTGGGGCTGGCCAGACCGCGCGGGGGCCTTCGTGGCGAGCGCAAGGCGGCCTGCGTGCAGGGTCGGCGGTGGCGCAGAGATCGACTTCTTCGTGGTTTCGAGCAGCCTCGGCGCGGCCGTCCGAGACGTGACGCGCATGGAGGCCGCGATCAGCCCGCGCTACCCAGCGCGCCCGGCGCTGGGCGGCAAGCAGAACTCGGAGCGAGCACTGTGCCAACAGGCGCCGAGGTGCCTCCCAGCGGACAGGCCCGTGGGGCCGCTCCGAGAGCCACTTGCTGGGCGGCGCTGCTGCAGGACCTGACGGGGGCCACTGGTTGGCGGGGTAGCCACAGCGACGGGGAGCTACCAGGAGGTCAGCCCGCACCAGCAGCAGTGCCCGAGGTCGGCCACGTGGACTCCAGGGCTGGGTGCGGAGATCTCGAAGTCGAAGCGCCCAGGGCCAAGCACTCCGACTTAGGCGGCAGCGTCGGCGAGGGCGACCACGAGCGCTGCGGGGACAGCGCCGACGGCAGTGACCCTGCCCAGCGCGTTGGGGCTAGCCTACCAGTTACCCGCGGCGGTGCCCCCAGCTTCCTCGAGGGCGACGAGAGGTTGCATGGGCGACGACTGGGCCGACGCCATCCACTGGATGCAGGGCGAGGTCGCAGGCGACACGGAGGTGGAGTCCCAGGGCGCGAGCACTTCGATTTCGGCGGCTTGTGGTGCGCCATTTGGGCCGCCGACGGCGGTTTCTGGGGCGACCTCGAGGCTCCTCCCAGAGAGGGCTGCCTTGCCTGGGCAGGGTAGTCCTAGCCACGCCCCCGTTAGCGCCGCGCCGTCTGCGCAGGCGACGACGGCGCAGAGCGGGCTAGGGTTCAACCACCCACGCGGATCGGCTGGAGGGTTGGAGCCGCGCGGCCGAGCTGGTCAAGTTGCTGGAGGCACCGCTGGCGGAACAGGGCTGGGCGAGCTCTACGCGTGCATCGCGGTGCTCTTGGAGGAAGACCTGGCAGGCCTTTTCGATTGGCAGGAGGAAGAACAGCAGCGACACTCGGGCAGAGGGCACCAAGCACGCCTCGAGGAATGGGAGATCAGCGCCTTGCAGCGAGGGGGGCCGCGCCAGGGGATGTCGGCAGGCGCGCACGTGGAGGAGGACTGCGACTCTAACATGGGGGCTGCTAGGATGCAGGAGGAGGCTACGCTGGCCGCATCCGAGGCCGACAGAGCTCGCCGCGATAGCATTATGGCGAAACAGGACCTAGTAGGCGACATTGGCCTCGACCAAGTCCGCAAGGCGGACAGGCAGCGAGCCCTGGCACTACAGCTTCGGAGCGCAGGCGCCTAGACTTACCGCCAGCTCAGCTCTTTCGAGGACTACGCACGGCAGGCCGCAAAGGCTTTCGACATCCGAGCGGCCAGGGATCGCACCAAGGCCTTGGGACGCCGGGCTAGAGAGGCAGTGGGGGGCGGGGCTGGAGCCGCCCACGGCTTCTGCCGCGCTCCTCGGAGCTGGGCGCCCGACGGCCTCGCGGGCGGCAAGCCTGCAGGCATCGCGGGCACGCTCCAGGCGCTGAGGGAGGAGTACCAGAAGGGCTGGCGTTTCCAGCAGGAGGATTTCGACGTCGGCGCGGCCTTGCCAGAAGATCTGCTGGAGGAGGCGCCAGGGCTTCCGACGCCGTTGGCGGTCAGAGCAGCGGCGCGACCCTTCAAGGCCAGCACAGCGACAGGAGTGGACTGCATCAGGCCGCGCCACTTCGGATGGCTGTCGGACCAGGGTACTTGGGCGCTCTGTCTGCTGCTCCACCGTATCGAGCTGAGGACGGAGTTCCCGACGCAGGCGGCCGAGGTCTCTATTTTCTTTTTGGCGAAGCCCGATGGGGGCTGGCGGCCTATCGGCCTCGTCGCTTCGCTCGTCCGCCCCTAGGCAAGGTCAGACACGGCGAGGCGAAGCGCTGGGGGGCAGAGAAGGATAGGCCCTATTTCTTCGGTGGCGCTGGACGGCCCTGTGAGGACGCGGTTTGGCTGCAGAGTTTCGACGTCGACCGCGCCAAGGCCATGGGTTTGGTGGCAGCCACGGCGCTGCTCGACCCCCAGCAAGGCCTACGAGAGGGTCGCGCGCCGAGGTTTGGTGCACGCAGTGGCGCGCGAGGGCTTCCCGCTGAGGAGGGCCAAGTTGCTCCTCAAGCTCTACGGGGGCAAGAGGCGCCTCGGCTTGGACCGCTGGAAGACGGAAGCTGTCCAGGTGGACTTATCCCTCCTGGCGGGCTGCTCCTTCGCCACGACGCTGCGAAGGGCGGTGCTGATTCAGCCGATGGACGCCATGTTAGCCTCCTGGCAAGCTGCGCGGCCGTACCTCGTCGCGGACGACATCGCGCTGGCGGTGCGCGCCCAACGGACGCAGGTAGAGCACATTCTCGTCGGGGCCACCAGAGCGATGCGCCAGGCAGTGGAGCCCATCGGCTTCACGATCTCCGCGACGAAGGGCCAGATCCGCAGCTCGGACCAGGAGCTGGCCTCGCGGGTGGCAGCCAGGCTCAAGCGCTGGAAGTTCGTCCGAGTCAAGGCCACGAAGAACCTGGGTATGGATTTCGCGATGGCCAAGACGGCTTCTTGGAGAGTCCTTCGCCGCATGATCAACCGTCTGCGGATGAGGGCGGGCCGATACTTGGCCCTCCGCAAGGCGGGAGCCAAGCGCCTCTCCAGGGTCTTCAGGACGGGAGGCCTGGCGACCATCCTGCACGGAGCGAGGGTCAGCGGGCTGCCGCCGCAGCCACTGCAGCGAGCCAGGGCCGCTCATGGGCGTGCGTTGACAGGTGAGGTCGGCCACAAGTCTCGCGCTGTCCTTTTCGCGCTGCAGGAAGGCAAGGACTGGAAGCACGATCCCCGCTTACGCGGCGCGCATTCTCCCGTTGAGGGCATGGTCGAGAGCAGCATTCCTCCAGGCAAGGCCAGCGGCGGCGTTCAGGAAGGTGCTGGAGGAGAAGCCCGACAACTGGGGCGCGGTCACGGGGCCAGCGGGCGCGGCGTGGCTCACGCTGGAGCGGCTGGGCTGGCGCCTGCTGGACTGGAGCCGCTGGGAGGACGACCGCGGGCATGTGCTGGACCTGCAGGCGTGCAGCCCGCGCTTGGTGGCTAGCCTGGTGGAGGACGGTGTCTACCGCTATCTCATGAGGCGCGTAGCTGACCACCGTGGGTTCGAGCAGCTGCGAGGGCGACCCCTGTACCTCGAGCCATTCAGGGCAGCGCTGGCAGGCATGAGGCGCGACGGCTTGTCGCAAGAGGCGTCGCTCCTGGAAGCCCACATGGCAGGCGGGCTGGTCACCCAGCGTGACCTCTACGAGGAGAGGGTGGCACTATCCCCGCTGTGCCAATGGTGCGGGGCTGCGCCTGGCCCGGCGCACCACGGGTTGTTCGCGCGCCAGTCCGTCGCGAGCTGGGACGAGGACCTCGGCTTCCCGCCGGTCGCCGCTGCAGGCAGGGACGCACCAGAAAACGAACTAGGCATGGTCAGAGGGCTGTTGAATCTGGGCCTGGTCAGGCGCCGCTGCCGGGCATGGAGGAGCACTGCCACCGCTCGGGCATCGCGAGGCACGGCTACTTCGGGGGCGTGATCTGCATCGACGGCTCTGCGATGTAACCCGACGCCCCGCGTTTGACCAGGACGGGGTGGGCAGCAGTGATGATTGACGGAGTTGGACACCCGCGTGGCGGGATGTATGGCTGCACTCCAGGCTGGATCCAAGAGATCTGGTACGCAGAACGGCATGCGCTCTGGCGAATGCTGCAAGAAGCAGGTCCAGGGCCCATCGTTGTCTACACGGATTGCAAAGGCATCGAGGACGACATGGGGAGAGGCAGGCAGCACTGCTGCGGGCCTGGCAACAAGTACGCGGACATATGGCGGTGCATCTTCGAATGGCTCGACGACCTCGGCGAGGGCTTCCTGGAGTTGCATTGGGTGAGAGCCCACGCCATCTGGGCGGAGGCGTGCCGCGGAGGGGCCAGTCTCCAGGCGCACGCAGGCAACAAGGAGGCGGACCTGCGCGCGAAGGACGGGGCCAGGCTCCACCCAGGCCAGGCAGCGCTGAGCGAGCTAGCGGGGCGCTGTGAGGCCGCCGCCGTCACTGCTTGTGCCTGGTGCAGGCACCACGGGGGGGTCCTGAAAAGGCTTGCCGACCTTGGGTGGCCCGACAGAGACCCCCTCCCTGGTCCTCGGGCCCAAGGCTCTAGCGGCCTCATATTGGAGCGGCCTGATAGAGGCCACCGTCTGGCCAGGCTCGGTAGGGCCTGGGGTTGTGATGTTTGCGGGGCCCGCGGTGCCTCGAGAGCCAGGGTCGTTTCCAAGGCTTGCCCAGGACTCCCCAGATTGGTTGCCCAGTCCCACCCGTCCCACAGGCTGTGGGTGACTCGGGGTGGGGTTGGCTGTCTTGGGAGCAGGCCCCATGGAACGGGTGGAGACACGCTAGTGTTTTGCAGGACGTGCGGGGCCTACGGACGTAGGCAGGCGCACCTCCTCACCGAGTTGTGCGTTCCCCTGGCCAGGAAGTGCCGGGATGCGGCAAAGCTGTCTCGGAAGGCCCTCGATCGCCTAAGATCTGGTCGTGAACCCCAGAGCGGGGCGTTCTGGGGCGCCCCTTTTCCGGTCTCGCGGGCTGCTGCGTTGCCCGCAGCGCGTGTGGACCCCAAGGCCCGTGAGGCCAGCGCGAGGAGCGAAGGCGATCGCGCCTCGGCGGGGGCGCCTGGCAGTCGCAAGCACAGTCTGGGCTCGCGGAGCCATAATTGACGGCGGCGCACAGCTCCTGGGACCCCCGCCCGCGCCAGGCACTCTCTTTCCTGGCGGGCTGTGGGAGGCCTTCGGGAGCTTAGATCCCTGTTTGGGGGTGCAGTGGGACTGCATAGCGGTCCGCCTCAGTTCCGGAACCAGAGGAACCAGGAACCAGAGGAAGAGGGGGAGGAGGAGGAAGAGGAGGAGGAGGAGGTGGAGGAGGAGGAGGAGGAGGAGGAAGAGGAGGAGAAAGAAAAGGAGGAGGAGGAGGAGGGGGAGGAGGAGGAGAAGGAGGAGGAGGAAGTGGAGGATGAGGTGCTGGCCGCGAGCACGGGGGGGGCACGGATCCCGTCAGGACGGCGGCAAGCACAGCTCAGGGAGGCGCTGCCGCAAGGCGCCCGGGCGCCAGCGCGGACCTGCCCGAGGCAGCCTCCGGAGGGCGGAGGGGCCCAGCCCAGGGGTTACTGTTCAGTCGGGCATGTCCCTCTACGGGAGGAGTTTCCGAATATAGTACAACAGAGTCTAGGGGCGATCTTTCGGCAATGTGTTTTGACTATTCTTGGCTATGTTTGGTTATCTCCTTCAAAATCCGCCTGTACGAGGACATGCCCGATCTGTGGCTACTGCAGAGGGTACCCCGGCCACGCGGGACGCGCCCCGGCCCCGCGAGGCGCACGGCGGGGACTAGCTTTGCCAAGAAGAGGAGGAGGAGGAGGAGGAGGAGGAGGAGGAGGAGGAGGAGGAGGAGGAGGAGGAGGAGGAGGAGGAGGAGGAGGAGGAGGAGGAGGAGGAGGAGGAGGAGGAGGAGGAGGAGGAGGAGGAGGAGGAGGAGGAGGAGGAGG